TCTGGTCCACCATCCGGCGACTCATGGGGGGAAAGTGGTATATCCCCAACACTGTTTATAGTGAGAGTGGTGTGCTGCTGACCTCAACTCGGGATGTCGTGGGTCGGTGGGCAGAATAGTTTGAAGACCTCCTCAATCCCACCGGCACGTCTTCCACTGAGGAAGCGGAGCCTGGGGACTCTGGGTCGGGCCCTCCAATCTCTGGTGCTGAGGTCACCGAGGTGGTTAAAAAGCTCCTCGGTGGCAGGACCCCAGGGGTGGACGAGATTCGCCCAGAGTTCCTTAAGGCTCTGGATGTTGTAGGGTTGTCCTGATGCATGCTTATTAATCCAGGTAGAAAAATCCAAAAAAGTTCAATCTGGTCCTCTGGACATTAAAAAAAAAACAAAACAAAAAAAAAAAACAAAGCAAAAAAATATAGAAACGTTTTGTCTCTCATCCGAGAGACTTCCTCAGTCTGAGGTGCTGTGTTCAGCTCAGTCTCTTAAATAGCACCTTCTCAGAGTGGATAAACCAGTTTGCTGCTGACAACCTAAACCAGCTGATCACATGCTCAAGAAGGACCATCAGCCTAACAATGGATCATTAGCACACTGATGGCTGTTTACTATTCACATAGGGCTGAGTGATACTAGCAATCACAGCATTGTAAGAGGGGGACAGTTGAACCCGGAGGCCTCCACCCCTGTTTAATGATGGACGATTTCTTTTCACAAAGATGGCCTCCTTTACTCCTCTCTCAAACCAACGTTCCTCTCTGTCCAGGATGTGAACATCTTCATCCTTGAAAGAGTGACCGCTGGCCTGGAGATGAGTGTAGACCGCAGAATCCTGGCCTGATGATAATAATAATAAATAATAATACATTTTATTTCAAAGGCGCCTTTCTGGCACTCAAGGACACCGTACAAAGAATAAAATCAGCAGTAACAGAAACTAAGAGATGAAAAGAAAAGAAAAGAAAAAGAAAGGAAGAAAAAGACAATGTATAAAATCAATATAAAATCAGGCAAAACCAATTGTGTCAGGTGGAAAAAGCAGATCTAAAAAGGTGTGTTTTGAGTTCTGATTTGTATTGTGAGACTGACTTTATGTTTCTAATGTGAGGTGGTAACGAGTTCCAAAGTCGGGGAGCAGAGCGACTGAAGGCTCTGCTCCCCATGGTGGTGAGACGGGCGATGATGTTGATCTTCATGATGTTGTGTTGGCTTACACAACTCTGCAATATTGCATGGACATCGGGGGGAAGTTCCCCTGGATTGGCAGACCGGGGTGGTGGTCCCCCTATTCAAAAATGGGGACTGTAGAGTGTGTTCCAACTACAGGGGGATCACTTTCTTAAGCCTCCCTGATAAGGTCTATTCGGGGGTTCTGGCGAGGAGGGTCTGTCAGATAGTCGAACCTTGGATTCAGGAGGAGCAGTGTGGTTTTTGTCCTGGTTGTGGAACACTGGACCAGCTCTACACTCTCAGCAGGGTCCTGGAGGGTGTGTGGGAGTTTGCCCAACTGGTCTACATGTGATGTGCTTTGTGTACTTGGAGAAGGCGCTCGACCGTGTCCCTTGGGGAACCCTGTGGGGAGTATTCTGGGAGTATGGGGTACCGGGCCCTTTGATACGGGCTGTTAGGTACCTGTATGACCGGTGTCAGAGCCTGGTCCGCATTGCCGGCAGTAAGTCAGGCTTGTTCCCGGTGGGAGTTGGACTCCGCCAAGGTTGCCCTTTGTCACCGATTCTGTTCATAACTTTTATGGACAGAATTTCTAGGCACAGCCAAGGTGTTGAGGGGATCAGTTTTGGTGGCCTTAGGATTGTGTCCCTGCTTTTTGCAGATGATATGGTCCTATTGGCTTCATCAGATCATGAACTACAGCTTTAGCTGGAGCGGTTCACAGCCGAGTGCGATGTGGCCAGGATAAAGATCAGTTCCTCCAAATCCGAGGCCATGGTCTTGAGGCAGAAAAGGGTAGAGGGCCCTCTCCAGGTCAGGGAGGATGTCCTGCCCCAAGTGGAGGAGTTCAAGTATCTTGGGGTCTTGTTCACGAATGAGAGAAAAATGGAACGTGAGATCGATAGGCGGATAGGTGCAGCGTCTGCAGTGAAGCGGGCGCTGTACAGGTCTATCGTGGTGAAAAGAGAGATGAGTCAAAAGGTGAAGCTCTCAATTTACTGATAGATCTACATTCCTACACTCATCTATGGTTATGAGGTTTGGGTTGTGACCGAAAGAACAAGATCTCAGATACAAGCGGCCAAAATGAGTTTTCTCCGCAGGGTGTCTGGGCTCTCCCTTAGAGATAGGGTGAGAAGCTCAATCATACGAGAGGAACTCAGAGTAGAGCCGCTGCTTCTCCACATTGAGAGGAGCCAGTGGAGGTGGCTTGGGCATCTGTTTAGGATGCCTCCTGGATGCCTCCCTGGTGAGGTGTTCCAGACACGTCCCACCAGGAGGAGACCCAGAGGAAGACCCAGGACATGCTGGAGGGACTATGTTTCTCGGCTGGCCTGGGAACGCCTCGGGATTCCCCCAGAGGAACTGGCCCAAGTGGCTGGGGAGAGGGAAGTCTGGGCCTCCCTACTTAGGCTGCTACCACTGCAACCCGACCCCGGATAAGCGGAAGAAAATGGATGGATGGATGGATGGATGGATGGATGGACAGTGAATTGGAGTTCATTACAGACATCTATATGCATTTATAATTAGTCAGTACACAAATGCCCCTTTTCCATTAGTACCGGTACGGGCCGACTTGACCCTACTTGGCCCGGTTCTGAGGCTTTTCCATTAGTACCGGTACTTAGCACCTGTTACTATTTTCAGTACCCTTGGCTCTGTGGTTCTAACCGGTACGAAGAGGTACAAAAACGTGACGTCAGTACACTGTCGGTCACTGATTGGTCGGGGGCGGAGTCGGGGGCGGAGTCACTGGATCCTTCAGAAACGTTTCAAAACAATAATCCGCCATTTGCAATTTCTCGGACTGGAGCAGCCTGGACTTATTTTAAAGATTTTAAAAACAATACTGACAACATCTTGGTCTAATGTTGATGTGCTGGCATTTTTTGTGCTTGGTGGCCGACAACATAATTCAGAGCAAGCTGGATGGAGCTCTGCTGGTGTACCCCGATCCTCCCTCCGGAGCCTCTGAGCGCCAGACCGGGCAGAGCGTCATCTCCCCGGCTCCAAGTTCAGCTGGTCACCGCGGAAGATCCTTCGATGTGCCGACTCGTAGGCTCGGGTTCCAGATACCAGCCTTGTGTGCTCAGAGCTCCGCAGGTCACTGCGAATCTGGAGATGGGGACTCGCAGATGGACGTTGCCAGACCCCGGCCGCGCGTAATCATGAAGGCTGAATCCTGATCCCGCCCGGCAGCCAGGCGGACTGGACAGTCAGGGACGGACGCTGGAAGCGATTTTTAAATAAAATAATATTTTGTTTTTATACAAAAAATGTTTTAAAAAAATGCTGAAGCGATTTAAAAATGATTATTATTTTTTTACACGTAAAATGTTTTTTAAAATCGCTTCCACCATTTGTCGCAGACCCGTCTCTGTCCGCCTGTCTGCGCGGGTCGGACCTTCATGATTACGCACGGCTGGAGTCTTGGAACAGCCTCTGGAGTCACCAGCAGAGCTCGGAGCTGGGAGGATGAGCCTCCCAGCCTCCTCTTCTCCGGAGGAGAGGATCGTGTGACTGCGGGCAGTGTCGTGCGAGACCAGCAGAGCGTTGAAGATTAAAAATAAAATAAACGGTGCCAGCTTCATCATGAAATCCTGTTTTCACTTTAATGACTGTTAACTCAGATGAAAATCATAAAAAGACACAAAACTATTGGATATCAGGAATATTTCCCTCAAACATGTTTAAAGAAGAGACGACCTTCAGTTCAACTTTATTTTAACCCACAAATGTACAAACCACAAAACAAGAACTTTAAAGCAAAGCTAAAAATAAAATGTTTATATGTGAACAAGAAAGAAAACCACACATTTAAAATGAACATTAAAAGTAGACACAATGAGTGCAAATACATCAAATGATGATGAAAACCTATAAAAATTTAAATGTAATGTTTTTGTAGAATCTGGTTCATCAGAGTTTTAATTTATATACATATATATATATATTTATATCTATAAGTAAATATAGATAAATATATATGTATATATACAAATACATATATATGTATATAAATATATATGAATATATATAAATACATATATATGTATATAAATACATATGTGTATATATATACATATATATACATAATTGTGTGTATATACATATGTGATATATATATGTGTGTGTGTGTGTATATATATATATATACACACACATAAATATATACACATATGTGTATACATATATATTTGTGTATATGTGTATACATATATATATATATGTATATGTATATAAATATATATATATATATATGTGTATATATGTATATATTTATACACATGTATACATGCATACACACATACATGCATACATACATACACACAACTTCAAAATAACATAAATTCTCAACCTGTACTGAAAACAGTTTCTGCGTCTCAGCGCCACCAGCTGGTGAGAGGTGGTGACGTCAATTTGAACCCCGCCCACTGGAACCGGTACTGAAAGCATAATGGAAACACAACCTGTACCGTACCGAGTAGAGTAGAGCCGGGCTGTACCGGCCCGTACCGGTACTAACGGAAAAGGGGCAATAGTTGGACCATTGAGGCCATATTATCAGACCAAGTCTTCTGTGAGACCATTGCACCACATGAAATACCATGTTCTGAGGTTAGGACTACGGGCCACTGATATATTGTTCTTTTGGACGGAAGCTGTCACAAACATGCAGTGGCGTGGGCTCAGACTCAAATTTTATTATAGCAATGCAAAACACCATATTGTAAAAGCAATCAGTTATTGGTTAGGGTAAAACCTTTTAACCTGGTGACAGGATGGTGCACCACACACAGGAGTCTGCAGGAAATCAGTAGATTAGAGGATATGTTTTGGTTTGCCTCCCTGATGATGTGTAGAGTCGACTGTGCACAAAACCACTGCAAATTTAAGCGAAAACTTCCCACTCCAAACAAACCCCACACAACATCACAATCAAACTTGTCCTAAACGCAGACCAAACCAAAAGGATGCTGTTTTCAAACAGGATGTCGGTCCCAGCAGTTCTTCCTCTGATTTTGTCCTCAAATGGTGTCTCTATTGAGTTTGTCAATTCCTACAAATGCTTGGGTATCTTGGTCGATTTGCATCTCTCTTTTAAACTCCACATGGATATCCTAGTAAAGAGTTAAATTGGGTTTCTTTTTCAGAAATAGATCCTGTCTAACTCTGAATGCTAGGAAACACCTTGTAATTGCGACTTTCCTTCCCTCCATTGACTACGGAGACATTATTTACATGAACTCTCCTACAACCACCGTGCAGTTGTTGGATGGTGCCTATCATGGTGCCCTAAGATTCATAACTGGCTGTAACTACCGTACCCACCATTGCACCCTGTATTCACAGGTTAAATGGACATCATTAACTTCAATCAATCAATCAATCAACTTTATTCATATAGCACATTTTAAAAACCACAAGGGTAGCCAAAGTGCTGCACAATAAAACAATAAAAACAACCAAAACAATAAAAACATACAAAGCATACACAACGAAACATAAAAAAACATTCACATACCAGTTTCACAGCAGGTGTATTAAAAAGCCATAAAAGATAAGATCACGTGTTAAAAGCCAAATAATGAAAGTGTGTCTTTAAAAGAGATTTAAAAACCGGAAGAGAGGAGGCCTGTCTGACACTCAAGGGTAAATCGTTCCACAACCTGGGAGCAACAACAGCAAACGCTCTGTCACCTCTGAGCTTCAGCATAGTTTTAGGGACTGTCAGCAGCAGCTGATCAGCTGATCGTAGGGATCGGGGTGGACAGTAAGGCTGAAGCAGCTCAGACAGATATGGTGGGGCAAGGTTGTTCAGACATTTAAAAACAAACAGCAAAAGCTTAAAATTAATTCTGTAGTGCACAGGGAGCCAATGAAGGGACGCCAGGATGGGAGTAATATGCTCGCGCCTACGAGCCTGAGTTAACAGGCGAGCAGCAGAGTTCTGCACAAGCTGCAGATGAGCAAGAGACGTCTGGCTAATGCCTGCATACAGCGCATTACAGTAGTTAAGACGAGCTGTGATAAAAGCATGGATTAATTTCTCCAAGTCAGGTCTTGCTAGGATTGGTTTCACTTTTGCTATTTGGCGGAGTTGATAAAAACTTTTCTGAACAACACTGCTGATCTGTTTTTCAAATTTAAAATCAGACTCAAACTTCACCCCCAGATTGGTGACACAGTCCTTGAGATAAAATGACAGTGAGCCAAGATCTATGCTGGGAGAGGGACGGCAACTTGGTCCAAACATCATAACTTCAGTCTTGTTCTCATTTAGACTAAGGAAGTTAAGAGAGAACCATGCCTTAACATCATTAAGGCAGTGTGTAAGTTGTTGAACTGTGTTGTTTTGTGCCATGGGAAAATAGATCTGGCAATCATCAGCATAAAAGTGAAATAAAATGCCATGCTTCCTAAAAATCGAGCCAAGGGGGAGTAAGTAAAGGGCAAATAAAAGAGGGCCAAGGATTGAGCCCTGGGGGACACCATGTGGAAGAGGAGCAGTGGAAGACATAAAATTGTCGATTTTTACGCAGAAACTCCTATTGGTTAAATACGACTGAAACCAATTAAGGGCAACACCCCTGATGCCCACACAGTGCTCAAGACGAGAGATTAAAATGCTGTGATCAACAGTGTCAAATGCAGCAGACAAATCTAAGAGGACTAAAACAACAGACTTTCTGGAGTCTGTAGACAAGAATATATCATTTGAAACTCTCAAAAGTGCACTCTCTGTACTGTGGCGGGCTTTAAACCCAGACTGAAACGGCTCAGTGATACCATTGTCCTCTAAAAATGGTAACAACTGGTTGTAAACAACCTTCTCTAATAGCTTTGAAATAAGTGGGAGATTAGAGATAGGCCTGAAATTGGAGCAGAGAGAGGGGTTAAGACCTGTTTTTTTGAGTAGAGGGCGTACAAATGCATGTTTAAAAGCCTCAGGTACTATACCAGAGGAAAGACTGCTATTGATAATCTGAAGTACACTTGGTTCAATAGTGGAAAATACCTCCTTAAACAAATGAGGTGGGATGGAATCTACAGGAGAACCAGAGGGCCTCATATGATCAACTGTGTCCTGTAGAAAAGAGAAGGACACAGGCTCAAACTGATCAAAAACAGATGAGTGGTGTAGAGGAATAGAAAGATCATAGGAAGGCTGAGAAATACAAGCTCTGGTTGACACAATTTTATCAGTGAAGAAGTGGGGGAAACTTTCACAGATTTCAGTGGAGGCATCAAAACCAACAGACTTGGGAGCATGGAGAACAATATCTATGGTTTTGAACAAAACTCTGGGGTTGTTACAGTTAGAAGAAATTATGCCTGAGAGATATTTGTTCTTCTCGGCTTTTACAGTTTTCTGATAATGTAACAGACACTCTTTGAGAATATTAAAAGAAACATGTAGTCTGTCCTTTTTCCACCTGCGCTCCGCTTTTCTGCACTCGCGCCTGGCAGCGCGCGTGACGTCACTCAGCCAGGGTCAGTGTCGAATTTCACTAAATCCTTGGCAGAGAGACGAAGATCCAACAATGTTTGGCGATCATACACAAGCAGAGAACTGGCACTGGTGATAAAAAACAAAAACAGCACGAACACAAACAGCGAGAGATGGCAAGCCACACACACTAGCGCCACCCTATCACACAGACTCTCTCACTGGTACATTTTCATCTTTAAATCACTTCTTGGTCTTTTGCCTTGATACATCTCCTCCACATGTCACTACGTGAGTGCAGCTACAGCGAGCGCCCTCAGGACATTATTACCTGCAGTGTTCCCTCAGTGCGGACTGAACTAGGCAAAAGGGCCTTCTCTACTCCGCTCCTGTTTCCTGGAATATCTTGCAAAAATATCTGAAGCTCTTGACCTTGACCTCTCTAAGTGGCTTTAAACATCTGTTAATTTCCTGGCAAAAAACAATGCAGACTTATTCCTGTTTTTAGTTTTCTACTGGGTGGCTGTGGCTGAGTGGTTAGAGCAGTCGTCCTCCAACGCAGGAGTTGGGGGTTCGAATCTACCAGCAGTCACATGCCAAATTGTCCCTGGACAAGACACTGAACCCATCATTGCCTCAGATGTGTGTCCCATCTGTATATGAATGTGATTTAAAACATTTATTAGTCTCAATTAGAATGGTTTTATCAATTAGCTTTGTAGAGATCTAGTAGAGTGCTGTATGAATGGGTAAATGAGGGCACAGATTGTGTTGTAAAGCGCTTTGAGTGTCTTGATCAGATAGAAAGGCGCTATATAAGTACTGTCCATTTACCATTTACATCGCCTTACAACCTAGCTGTTTTTTGTTACATTTTCTTATAAATGCTATTTTATTTTCACTTGTGAAAAAAAAATCTCAATTTGTACGCATCCTTTATGATTGTTGTTGTCTTTGCTGTTCCACTGTTGTCATCACTCTTGTTAAAATCAGGTCTCTCCTGTAAATAAGGCCCTGAGGCTCAATGGGATTGACCTGTATAAATAAAGATTGAATGAATGAAAAAACACAAAGCTTGGTGTATAGCATGTGAAATAAACATGGACCATGTGTTTCAGGTGTAAACAGATCGTCCAGTACCTTTTGTTTCCAAATACGCCAGCTTTAAGCAAACAGATGACACAACATGCTGTAGGTTAAACTAAATAATATACTTTTATTTAAATCACTGATATATTTTTCTTTCTTTCAGCTGTTCCCTTCTTCAAAGGTTGCCACAGTAAACTAACTCGCATGAAGACTTAGCAATTGCTTTTACGCCGGATGCCCTTCCCGATGCAACCACAGACCACCGAGCTACCACAGCCCTCTGTGTGGAGCAGAGAGCTGCTATCTAGGACACCTGGGGGAGCAGAAGGTGGGGGTTAAGGGCCTTGTTCAAGGGCCCAGAGTGGTGCAAATGAGGGTGGAGAAAAGTGTGTGTGCTTCACCTATCCCACCCACATTTGTTATGTGTTGTTAGGACGGGGAGTCGACCGGGCAACCCTCCGATCACAGGCTCACCTTCTTTAACCTCTGCGCCACCCTTCCCCCAAAGCATTGATACATGACATGATATGGCATTTTCAAGACGGTGCTAGTGTGTAGGGCTTGCCATTCATCGCTCTCTGTTTTGTTTTTATTTCTGTTTTTTTTTTTTTTTAAGTGTTGTGCAGTTTTGTCGACTCATATCTGCAGTATGATCACCGTGCACTTTTGGAGCTCCATAGTTTGCTGAATTGCCTACCAAGTTTTCTTACAATATTTTCCTCCTTCATGATCCTGGCCCTTGTCCTTGTAGGAAACATCACAGATGTTGATGAAAGTGCGGTGCGATGTTGGTGAAGCTGAGACTCCATGTGGAATATTCAGCCAAGAATTACAGGGCTCGTTGTGGATCTGATCATCGACTCACTGATCTGTGACATTTCAGGGGCCCTGCTGCTGGCCAGCTACCCGCATGCTCAGACCATGTTATCAACCACAGTTGTTTACTTGCGCAATGCACAAGCCAACCAGGAGGTGCTAATCTTAAAAATCTATAGCCACTGACACATGCTCCTCACACCACTGCTGTGTCTGTTTTGGACTCTACCAGGATGTGTTTGGTGCATGCAAGATTGGTAACCAACAAGACTTTTATCCTCAGGGACTTCTTTAAGGTGCAGGAATTGGATTTCCTCTGCATCACAGAAACCCGGATGTCTGTCAGTGAGTCCAGCGCCTTGGTGGAATTATTACTAGGGATGGGGCTGATCCGATCCAGTATCGGTATCGGCCTCCGATACCTGCATAATTTACGTATCGGATTTTTCTGATCCAACCTGCCGATCTTTCCAATCCATGATGCATGTCTGTGTATAACCTGCTCTGCGGGTTGTCTTCAAACTATGGAATGGATTTCCTGAACGGAGGCATGTTTCATGAAATCCAGTGTAATAAGACCCGCCTCACATTCAGAAAATCCATGTCATCGTTTGCAGCCAGCTAAAACGTGAGTAAATACTCTTTTGAGGGCTGAGAACTGAGCAGCACTGTTGCTAACGGCTAACCAACTTTTCATCATAACATGTCCGCTGTGTGGAAGTATTTTACACTAAACACCGCAAGACAGCAACGTGCAATGTCTGCTGTACCGAGAGGGGGAAGCTCGGTTGCGACCTACAATGCATCAAACTTAATAAACATTTGAAAAAGCACCACATTAAAGAGCACAAGGATTGTTCAGCCAGGCACCGCGGGTAAAGTTAGTTTTATGTTGGATATTCGAGCTCCGTGGCTTCAGTCAGGGCCAGATTAACACTTCACTGTACCCTGGGCAATAATCTTCAAGGGCCCCATCATCATGACCCCAGAATCACCATAATCTGTCAAAATACAGAATAAATGACCATAATATACAGTAAATATACTTAAAATTATAACTATCAAGTGTATTTTGATGTTTAAAAATCCATATGATCATAGAACTATAAATGCTATATCCTCTTGTTGACGCAAATCATAAAGACTGAGTTAAGTTGAACGTACTTTGAACACACCCTACGACATCATGTGTATTTGTTTAGCAATGTGTTTTTTGCCATTGGTGTCAGAAGCATTTGTAATGGGGTCCCCCAGAAAATTTTAAAAAGTAGATGCCATTTCCTGTGTAAAGGAACATATATCTGTGAGATATTATCCATAAATTAAACGGATTCTTTCATTTTTCTGGACTGAGTTCTATCGTGCATTGAATGATTAAATGTGATGTGAGACGTTAATTTTCTTTGACCCATAAAAAATGAATGCGGTCATTTATTAACAGAATCAAAGTTTAACATCAA